GGGGGTCAGCGTGGAGAGGGCGGCGTCGCTGGGGCAGCCGTGCTGCAGCAGGATGTCGGCACACTCCTGGCTGCCAGCGCGCCGGGCGTACGCCAGGGGCGTCAGTCCACGGGCGTCCCGGCTCTTCACGTCCACCCCGTACTGCAGGGAGAGAACCGGCGGGTCAGGGCCCGGCAGAGGAGTCGGGCTGGCTGCGCAGAGCGGGTGGGCAGGGGCACGAGGGTGGGGGGGTATTCTGCTAGGGGGATTGCCCCGGTTTCTGGGCTGTGCACGATGCCCCCCATTTCTGCTCCACATGTCAGGGGGGTTTAAGCCTGCCCCAGAGGTGCTGGGGATGGGGCTGGGCTGGGCCAATGCTCCTCCTGGCACCAGCCCCGCAGGGTCCCGGCTGGAGGGTCTTGCCCCCGCGCTCAGGCTCAGCCGCACGCTGCGCTGGGGCAGGAAGGGATTTCCCCCCGCCGGGGCTGTGGCAGGGTGACTGTTGTATGGCTCCGAGGTTGGACATGGGGTTTGTCTGGGCTGGTTCGGATGGGGCTGATCCTGCCCTAAGCAGGGGACTGGATGTGACCCCACAGCTCCCTGCCAGCCCCCCAGCTCTGGGAGTCTGCGACTGTGAATGGGAGGGGGCTGCAGGGGCAGGTGGGCCCGGGGAGGCACGGGAGGGGGTGGGCAGGTGCCGGACGGGGCTCACCCAGATGAGGAGCTGCGTGAAGACGACGTTGGCCATGGCGCAAGAGAGGTGCAGCGCCGTGCGCCCATCGCCGTCCCCGTAGGTCTCGTTCACCTCCTCCTTGGTGCCGTGGGCCAGCAGCATCACCACCAGGCGCAGGTCGTCCTCCACCACCGCTCGCAGCAGCTGCTGCCCCAGCGGCACGTCCGACGGCGGCAGCGGGGCCACGAACAGCTTCTGCTCGTACTTAGCCCGGATCCAGCGCTCCTTCTCTTCCCTGCCGTGCGGGCGGGATATGGTCAGGGGGGCCATGCGGGCCAGGGCCCGGCGTCCCACGGCCTCTCGTGTGCACACTTATATGTGCAGCCCCGTGCACACCCCGGCCCTCGTGCGTGTGCTGCCCTAAACGAATGAGCCGGCCCCGGTGGGGGCACACACCCCAGGGCACATGCCGCCCCACCAGTGCCCGTGCTGGATGTGGCCAGACGGCCTGGCACAGCTCTGCGCGGGCCGGCGGCAGGGCCGGGGGCGGTGGCGGTGCCGGGGACCGCGGCGGGCGTTA